CGCTGGCGTGCTGCTGTGCACGGCCATTGACGACTGGGCACTTGCTGAGGGCGACTGGTCACTACCGTGCACGCTGGCAACGGTACTGGCGCGTACTTGGGCTACCGGGCGCTACTGGGCGCCGTGGGTAGGCGACTGGCACGCTGGCTATGCGTGCGGGGCTGACTGGGTACTCGGACGTGCTGCCGGGCGACGCCGAGGCCTGCTGTGCATCGCTGGCACGCTGCTGGGCATGCTGGCGTGCGGGGCAACTGGCCAGTATGCGTGGTATGCTGCTGGCATGCGTATGTGCGTCGCGGGACACGCTGCTGGGCGTGCGACGCGTCGCTGCGTACGCGGACTGGGTGGACGGTCGCGGTAACGCGTTGCCGTGTGTGTGTGCGTGCACTATGCACGACTGCGGCATCGCGACGCTTGGCTGCCGAGTGCTAGGCATGTGTGCGCGTTACTGGGCGCGCCGACGCTGCCTGTGCACTCGCTAACTTGCCGGGCGTGCCTGTGCGCACTCCGCGTGCGGTAGGCATCACGGTCGGCATCTCGCCGGCCGTCCAGTTACTTTCTCCGGCAGTCCACATATGACTGTTCATGTTTTGACTTAAATAACATAATCATACAATAAGCGTTCGGGACTTGCCGGTTAAAAACTGAAATCACTCGGGAGGGCTTATGTAGCACCTCCGAGGTCATTTTGCTAAAAGAACTTGGACCGAACAACATGACATCGACATGATCTCCTTACAATAGACTAAAGTACATAAAAAGAGGGTAAATAAGAATGTACCCTTCAGTTTGGACGAGGATTGCACGATGACTTGCGTGCGTGTTCGGTACTTCCTTTAATGTCCTTGTGTCCTTCCCTTACTTCGGCAACACTTAGCTATTTTTGTACTATTTTTCTCTTATTTTTCCTTGCTGTTTTCTCTCTACTTTAGTACGCTGAAAGATGGCTAAACGCACGTGAAAATGCATGGGGAAAACGTTCCACATGCTCGATTATTTATTGATGGTGAAAACCGTGGGTGAAGGTTGGTCAAAGGAGGTGAAAGATGACCACACCTCTCTTGTTACAAGTGTCCGAAACGTGGCTGGCAATGCGGGTGAGTTTGGCTTAGTCATTGCCGAGGTGGTGGCCATGCACGGATTAGTCACCACTCGTGCGTCCGTGGCGTGCCGTGTGTGCAAGCTACTAGGTGAATCATCACCCCACTTGCACACACAACGGTTATCCTTATATTTTTCCTCATGAAATTCTTAGGGAGGGGATTTGACCTGATGATGTTGCTAAGCGTCGCCTAAGTGCGTGCTTAGCGCCCTAATGATGCGCGCGCTGCGCGCTGTGCGCGGCGATGCGCGCTATGCGCGTCCGCGTGCGTAGTTATGCACATGGCATGCGTGCATGAGTACATGTACGTGCGTATGCCTCGCGTAATTCACGACTTAGCTTAGTTCAACTTTGAACTTAATTCCGAACATGCTAAACTTTTAATAATTAATCCCGATTAGTAATGTCCGTTTATAAAATAAGCGGTTCGGAAATTAATTATCGAATTAACTCGGTTAATAATTAACTGGATAAACTTTTCAACTTAACTTCGAACGTATTCTCTGAAAATGAACGGAATCGATAAAAGATAATACATCATTCTTATTAACAAAGAGTTGGGTTATTACACAAACGATAGAAACTCTCTCCGGGGACCTCTTAGAGTCATCCTCGGATACCATAGATACAAGATAGCCTTGACAGCTACCCTTGGAAAGGCTCTTCCTAACTTGCATAGAAGAGATGACTCGAGGCACAGTCCTCGACTTCACCCCATAGAAAATAACAGGCTGATCGAAAACGTTGAAGAGACTGACTTCGCGCTCCTAGCGCCGGGTGTCGGCTCGATAGCGAGTGAGCCAGTCCATGCCCATGATCACATTGAAGTCCCGCATTTCAATAACATAGCAGTCGGCCTCCAAAACATGCCCACCAATACTAACTTGAAGACTAGGAACCATGGAATCGGAGATAATAATTTTTCCCCATGCTAGACTAACCTCGAGAGGATCACAGTTGCACACATTATCAATAGACAGGGCCTCCAAGCACTGAGAAGATATAAAGGAATGAGTAGTTCCAGTGTCATATAACGCAAAGATAGGCACATTAATAAAAGAAGTCTAGAGTTCAACACTAGAGTTCACATTTAAAGGTGGATTAGTCCTAACCCCGATTTCATTTCAATAATCAATAATCAACCAATATACAATAATCTCAAAGTCATTCAGGTACTCATACCTGAGCTGGCACGGCACGACGAGAGCGAGTAGTCTTAACATGAATTCGAAACACATAATCACATAGTGTCAAAATCTTTTTCACCCCATTATAAATCTATTCTTTCTTTTACACACCGCCCCATCAAATAACTTCTTTTACACCCCAAAACTCACGAAATGCTATGCGATATTACAGTCGCATGTCCAAATGAACCAGCGCATATCCAAGCGGACGCATAATTTATGACTATGCGAAAACATTTTGCATTTTTGTAATCGCATATCCACATCCAACGCATAATTTACAAATATGCGAATATGTTTTGCAGTTTTAAGAATCGCATATCAAAATCGAATGCAGTATAATTTACGATGATTATGCGCCTTATTTCGCAGGGCTATATCGACCTTGAAAATTTATGATTGTGCGAAAACGTTTCGCATATCATTCGTATTATTTGTTGAATTCGCATTTTCTGGAAATTGCATATCCAAGTCAATCGCATAATTTACTGGTATGCGAAAAACTTTCGCATATATCGGCCGGATAATTGACAATGATGCGACATTTTTTCCCTCGCATATTGAAGAATCGCATAACAAAATCAAATCAAGCATAATTTAATTGACGATAACACGCCATTTTTTCGCAGGGCCATATCATCATTGAAATTTTACGACTATCCAGAATTTGATCGCATATCTGTCGCATAAGTTACGCACCTCATTAATTGACTGCTTTTTCACAGGTGAGGATTTTGTCTGTGCATTTATCATGCAGGCAAAAAAACAGTGATCTCTAACAATTCAACGTCTGCACCATTCTTCTCTACCGCAATTTTCTGTTTCTTTCGTTTTAATTTATTTTGTTGTTCACTTATTTGAATGGCTAGCACCCGTGTTAGAGTATGCGTGAGCTATGGTGGTACGTTTTCCGGGGGTTCATATCTTGGTGGAGTGGCAGAGCTGATGAGAATAA